AGATTGTTTTAGGCCAGGAGTTCAAGTCCAGCCTAGGCAACATAGCAAGACCCCATCTCTACAAAAGAAAATAAAATGATGGATCGTTTTTCTTTTTATATTTTATTCATCATTCTAGTTGTTGTCAGTGGAAAGCCTAGTTACATAAAATAAGGTAAGTCTCCCCCACCCTGCACTTCCATGTTCTTATATATGAGGGGGAGAATAAATGTATTCCTACCTGCATCAGAGTAGTGATTGAAATCAGCACGCTTTGGGGCCGGGTGCGGTGGCTCACACTTGTAATCCCAGCACTTTGGGAGGCCGAGGTGGGCGGATCACGAGGTCAGGAGATCGAGACCATCCTGGCTAACATGGTGAAACTCCGTCTCTACTAAAAACACAAAAAATTAGCTGGGCGTGGTGGCACGTGCCTGTAGTCTCGGCTACTCAGGAGGCTGAGGCAGGAGAATGGTGTGAACTGGGGAGGTCAAGGTTGCAATGAGCCAAGATCACGCCATTGCACTCCAGCCTGGACAACAAAACAAGACTCCAACTCAAAAAAAAAAAAAAAAAAAAGAAATCAGCGCACTTTGAAAGCTGTGGGTTGGCCAGGCATGGTCACTCACACTTGTAATCCCAGCACTTTGGGAAGCTGAGGCAGGAGGATTGCTTGAGCCCAGGAGTTCAAGGCCATCCTGGGCAACGTAATGAGACCTTGTCTCTACAAAAATAAAAATAAAGCTGTGGGGCTCCAGACAAATACCATTGTCATTATTTTCATCCCACTCATCTATCTAGATTCAGTATGCTCTGTGGGTTCTTTTTCTGCCAGCCTCTTAAACTTTGGTGCTCCCCAGTCATCCACCCTCAACCTACTATTTTTCTTAATCTTTATACTCTTTATTGGTGGCCTCCTCTCCTCGCAAGTCTTCTCAACTATAAGCCTGTTTAGCCTACTTATCAAACTCCTCACACACATCCCCATGCCAAAAAGCCCTCCTCACTCTCTATTCCTTTCTTTCCTTTCCTGGCCTCATTGACTGGCACTTCTTCCCATCTACTATGTAGTTGTCCAGGCTAGAAACCTGAGCATTAGCCCCATTTCAGCCTCCCTCATTCCACACATTCGTTCAATCACCAGGTGCTGTGAATTGTACTTTCTAAATTCTTCTCAAACCTGCTCATTCCTGTTATCCTCCTGTTTGGTCCCAGTCTGCAGTTTCTTGCCTCCCAACCCATCCTCCTATCTGTCAGCCAGAGTGATCTTTCTGAAATGCACATGTGATTCTATCACTGCCCTGCTTAAAGTCCTTTAGCAGGTTCCCACTGTCCTAAAGATAAACTCCATTAACATCGCTCAAGGCTTTTTATGGCCTGACTCTGTCTGCTTCTCTATCCTCCTTTCTCTTCACTTTTTCAATTCATCATATACCTCATCTATTCTGAACTATTTGTGTCTCCATCTCTTGCTATTTTCTTTGTCTGGATGAGTTAGGGGAATCATATTTGACCCATTCTATCTTTAGACTATTACTTGTTTTGAGCTGAAATCTGCTACTTTGGCTCTTTCATTAGGCCTACGCCCTTTCTGCTTCAGACCATACAAGTTGGTGTTCTCAGGCACCACCAGCACAGAGCAGAGGATGAATTGTTACCTCCTTTCTTTTAGTCACTATATTCCAAATAGCGCCACCTAAAAGAGCACTAGCTTTTTAGTAGCCACATCATAATCCCCTTTTACACATAATCTGTTAAATCATGTCTCCCTTATTCTGTGTGTTTGCACAGTTGATGTTCTATATCTTAACACAGAAGCTGATCTGACATTTGTCCTAATGTAAGTACTTGCTAAGTTTCATCTTATTTGTTGCAGCCCTTGGTTCAGTCTTTTGAGCAATATTTTCAGCCTGACCCAAAGTCTTATAGTGTAAAGTAAAATAAATCCCCTTTTACCATATAGATAGAGGATCTAGGCCCAGAGATGCTCAACACCAGCCAGAAGTCACACAGCAAGCAAAGCAGCAGCAGCACCCGAGCCAGAGCTCAGGGGCCAGGATCCCTGAGCTACTACATTAAATCTCTCAGATTTTAAGTAGTATTAATTCTGTTTGGCAAGAGAACTGATAATAAAAATAGCACCACTCTGAACAGCTGGAAACCCTGGCTTCTCCACTACAGACAGACTTTGCCACTTCAAAGAGCTTTTCTTCCAAAACTGCAACAGGAGGGGCTCGGTGGGAAAGCCTGCTGCTTTCCTCTGAAGGTAGGCATCTGTCTTCTCACCCATCTGATGGCTGCCCCTCTATTTTAAGATGTCTATTTTAGACACAAAAAATGAAACTTTCCCATGCTATAATTAGGGTGGAACTTTAAAAAGCAAAGTAGTGTAACTTGTCACAAGAGACAAGACAGAGCCAACTTCTGCATTATGGAGCTTAAGAGGAATTTTGTAAAGGCTTATTTCTTAGCTGTTTCATATTTCACTGGAGTAAAATAAAGATTGGCCAATCAATTATAAATCAACAGAGGTGCTGTGCACTGTTCTGTAATAGCTCTCAGATAGAGATTAAAAATTCAGTGTATGAAAGTTGGTCTTTCCAGAAAGAGGAAAGGGCACATCCGTGACCTTGAAATATTATGAACTATAAAGGCTTCCTGCCTTCTCTGTTAAGTGTCTCTGGTCTTTGGACTTCAAGCCTGTTCCCCATACTGTTGCCAGGTCTCTTTCTGAAAGTTTATCTGACCTGTCCCTTTTTCCAGTCAGAACTGTCATAATCTATAGAAGTCTGTCAGTGTTAGGATACGGAAAAAAAATCAGGGGGGAATTGATTGTAAGAACATTGGGGAATCTCACAGCCGTGCTTTAAGGTCATACTGAATGTAGGCCCTGAGGACTGTGGAGCAGCCTGGAAGTTCTGTCTCTCAGCTTTCACATCTCCTCTTCTCCGTGACTTGCCACATTTTTCTTTACAGGTGGGCTGCCTGTGTCTTTCTAGACGCTATGATGGGAAACATGGCTGCCTATAGCTTCTAATACTGTTACAGATCCAGCCACGAAGAGATTATTATTATTATTATT